GGGCACCCAACGAGAATATAGTTCAAAACCACTTAAACATAGCATTGTTAAACGTATTTTAGTATTTAAACGGTAGATATAGGCATATCTTTATCCCTAAAAATTTTTCATCTGTTCGGATTTCCTAGCTGAAAGTCTAGTGATCCGAAAATTATAGGGATCAAAACTTACCTTTTCGAAAATTCCAGTCAGAAAAAAGGCTCCCGAAAATTCTAGGTGACCTTTTTAGGGTAAAAATAGGTTAAAAATAGGCAGTTATACCATTTTTTAGATGTTCGAAAATCCTAGGAGAGGCAGGCAAGCAAGAAATTTTACAACAAATGTTCCGAAAATTCTAGATCTCAAATCGTCTTCCGAACAGATATTTTCCGAAAATTGTCGTTGGGTGCCCCTGTTTTTTGCGAGAAAACAATGGCTGGGCTCGGCGTTACAAAACATAGCAGGGAATCATCACACTAACTAGCGGACAAGACAACCACAGTGTTTATTCAGACAAACGCATTTCGGAAAAAAACTTGAAAACTAGAAATTTCATTAATATTGAGTCATTTAGCCGAAATAAGAACCTTAACGCTCAAGAAAATGGGCTAAAGAAATAAAACGAATCCTGTCAGAACTACAGACTGCAGGTAGTAGTTAATCATTACGCATGTAACAGACCTGCTTCATGGCCTCTCAATGTGAGACAAGCAACCAAAATTAAGATTTGCATAGTCAAAGTTTAAAACTCTCCACAGTATAATCTATGCGCTAGAAAGAAAAGAAAGAAAATCTCTGAGGGATGAAAACGCTGAAGTCACGTTTCACTAGCTTATGACTTTGTTTGGCCTGTCAGCACCGGATTTCCTCCTGTTTCATGAAGTACAATAGCAGTGTCATTTAGTCGTTGTGATTAGCTCTTCCCACCGTCGGCGCGCGAAGTCTCCCCTGGGAACCGTTCTAATTATAAATCTACTCGGGAAAGGGTTGACTCCAAGGGCTTGTATGGGAGATGGAGGCTCCATTTGATGGGCTCCTGCTTATAGATAATTGCAGCTTAGTTTCTGATATTTGTTCAACATTCACTTTTTGTTTTTTTATTTATTTGTGAGCTCTTTGTTGCAGTGTTTTAACGGCTTGTGCTGAAGCCGCAAGGTATCGTTATATCAAAGTCACTAATGATTAATTTCAAGATTTTCAATTGGCTGTTATATAACTTTAGAGCTCACTATTACGTAAGAGTTGAAATTAACAAATAGCCAAGTTTGGTTAGGAAAGGCTCTGGAAAAGTACATGCACACTGTACATCACGTGAACTCATTAGTAAAGAACAAAGATTTGTTTGTCCCTTTTATCTAGACGAACCTGTTAAGATCTAGCCTAACCTGTTTTAATGCGTCAATCAAGGTGTGTATCTAGCCTTAAAATCGATCAACCCTAGCACTGTAGTCAGTTCAGCTTAGCCGGTGACGGAGTGAACTACAACAGCTTAACTGGACTTTTGAGTACGTTTCGACCAAGAAGCAATCAGTTCTTCTCAACATGGCTCTTTCAAAGCAAGTAAGTGAATTTTCCTGACTCCAAGCAATGAATTTGAAGTCGAATCTACTTTGACAATAAGGACTAACCTTTAGCTGTATTTGTAGCACACTCAGACCATGCCACACCCTCACGACAGTTATCAAAAGTTACTGAAAAGGCTTACTCTCAGTTGAATCAGTTGCTACACAAAACATAACGCTGTATAATTTTCTGATGTTCAGTTACTTGCCTTTCTCTGTCATGGGCGGCTATTAATTTTTTTTTTGTATTTTAAAATCTATTTTTGTACTAAACGTAATCAATTGTCTTTCAAGTGGAATTCTGCAAATTAGTCTTATTTATTTTCAGAGTTTTCCTGAGTTTAAATACATTTTGTATCAATAAATACACATGATCCAAAATGAAAATTTACAATACAAGGCTTAGTCACTGCAGAACTATTCCAAGAAAAATACCGCGGTAAACTTTAAATGTCCTGCACAGACAACGAAACTTTCTTTCTTTCTTGAAATTATTCCGAGCGTAGCGACTTTATAGCGTAGCGCGCGCAGTCTGCTAACCGCGCGTGGTTTTAGCCAGCTGCAGGAGCCCATCAACGCCGACAACAAGAGACAGAGGAACAGGAGATTGGAATCAGAGGCATTATGATCGTTTTACACTGTCGAAAACCCAGATTTCTTAGTTTGCCGGTTTCCCCGCCGATATATAGATCAAAGTCTGCAAAGTTTCAGCTCAGTATTACGGCCCGAAGAATAATAATTTTCACCGGGCGAACTGCACCGGGCCATATTTGTTCTTTGTTTTTTTTCTTTTTCTAAATCCGTACGCAGAAATAATGCTAAGGGAGCATTCATAATTTACCTAGAGGGTGGGCTATGATGATTTTGAGGGGGGGTCACTCTTTTTCCCTACTATGATTTAGGGGGGGCTGTGGAAAATTTCCAACGAAAATTACATCGAGCATAGGGGGGGGGCAAACATTTTTTTCCTGAAAAAGAAAAGGAAATGAAAATATGCTGTTGGACGCTCTTATAATTCCTGTCTTTTATTTCATTTCGACAAAATGTTGATACAGAACTAGAGTATGAAACTTGATGCATGACGCCCACTTCTTGTGCTACAAGGTGTCTTTGCGAGTGGCTCAAACTCACTCTCGTCACCCTCCTCACACTCGCTCTCCTCACTCTCACTCTCCTCACTCCGTGTTTCCCCCAAGACAGTGTCGTCGCCTTCGTCATCATCATCATCAGCGACTGCTTCTGGCTCTTGTAAAAGACGTTGCCCTGTTACAGTCATGGTTCTCAATGCCTCAGCCCTAGTCTCTTTCAAATGAGTGGTAATCAGTTCCAGTTTTTCTTTTTTCAGCTTTTTTTTCCAAGGTAACGAGTGATTCTTCAAATATACAGATCTTCATTTAAAAACACTGCACTAACAACTGGTGATGATCTATCAGACCATTAGCTTCTAAATCTGCTTGAAACAAATTTATATGAAATGTATGTTCAGTGCAACTAAAAGACCACTTTCTCTCCAGTACCAATTGAGATAGTTAAATTTATTATCAGCCAATAATTCAATCAGCTTTTCTCAAGAATGTCCAAAATAGAACAATTTTGAATTCAAAATGCGTAGAGATTTAATTGTACAGAACATTATATTTTCAGAAATTGACATCTTGAAATATCACCATTTCATTAGTGCAAGTTGTTACTGATTTACTATGCTAATTACTAATAAAGCTCAATATACCTGTCACAAGACTTTGATATGGCTAAGGGTGAGTTTGACATATTGTACTTATGTGCTGGGGGCGGGGGGGGGCTATGATATTTTCCTTTGATAAATCAACATCTCTTGAGGGGGGGTCAGAAAAAAAACCCTGGGATGATCAGGGGGGGGCTTCAAAAAAATGACAGAAAAAATAAGGAAATCATCATAGCCCACCCTCTAGATAAATTATGAATGCTCCCTAAATCTGCTTTTCAATACACTGTTAAGAGCAAATGTCTGTAAAAATCGAGCAAAATCGAAATTTCGCGCCCACAGTCAAAAAATCACTTTCGCTCATATCTTGTCCATAGATAGGCATAAGTAAGTAACTAAACGTGGCGTAGTTTGTTTTTCAAAAGGCCGCTTGGATTTGGCGAAAATCGACAAAATCAATTTTCGTGGTCGGCGACTTGAAAACAACCAAAATTTGAGGCAAAATCAGGCGGTCTCAAACCTTCGCTCGCACGCACATAGGAAGAAAGCGGGGTAAAATATTCCCCCGATAAATCAATTTATAAAGGGTTCTACTTCTGGTTTGGTGATGAATTCTTATCTTAACGATAATCTGGAAGATAAACAATGTTATTTTAGTTTGGATTCTTTTTCAACTAAACGAAATTTAAATTTAAGCAGAAAGTTGTGTGTTATATTTTAGGCATGTGCTACACCTAGGTTTTACCTGAAACTCAAGTCATATGTTATTTAAACATTGTGCTAAAACATATGAAAGAATTGGCCTGGGTAATTAAATTTGTACTTCACACCAACCTTCTGAAGTTGAATAAATTTTGCTTGAAATATGAGACTTTTCAAGAACGTCGGTTGGTTGTTGCCCGACAAGTCACGATGGCTGGGCTCTCCAAAAGAAACTTAACTCACAATCGCATTTGTATTAAAGACATTTGTACTGAAACGATAATTTTTGTTACCTCAAATGCGTTTTCCCGTTCTGGTTAACTGGCATTGCGCCTTGTCCCAAGCTAATCAACCGAAGATCCAAAAACTCGAGGAAACGTGGATCAGCACCGGATTTCCTCCTGTTTCATGAAGTACAATAGCAGTGTCATTTAGTCGTTGTGATTAGCTCTTCCCACCGTCGGCGCGCGAAGTCTCCCCTGGGAACCGTTCTAATTATAAATCTACTCGGGAAAGGGTTGACTCCAAGGGCTTGTATGGGAGATGGAGGCTCCATTTGATGGGCTCCTGCTTATAGATAATTGCAGCTTAGTTTCTGATATTTGTTCAACATTCACTTTTTGTTTATTTATTTATTTGTGAGCTCTTTGTTGCAGTGTTTTAACGGCTTGTGCTGAAGCCGCAAGGTATCGTTATATCAAAGTCACTAATGATTAATTTCAAGATTTTCAATTGGCTGTTATATAACTTTAGAGCTCACTATTACGTAAGAGTTGAAATTAACAAATAGCCAAGTTTGGTTAGGAAAGGCTCTGGAAAAGTACATGCACACTGTACATCACGTGAACTCATTAGTAAAGAACAAAGATTTGTTTGTCCCTTTTATCTAGACGAACCTGTTAAGATCTAGCCTAACCTGTTTTAATGCGTCAATCAAGGTGTGTATCTAGCCTTAAAATCGATCAACCCTAGCACTGTAGTCAGTTCAGCTTAGCCGGTGACGGAGTGAACTACAACAGCTTAACTGGACTTTTGAGTACGTTTCGACCAAGAAGCAATCAGTTCTTCTCAACATGGCTCTTTCAAAGCAAGTAAGTGAATTTTCCTGACTCCAAGCAATGAATTTGAAGTCGAATCTACTTTGACAATAAGGACTAACCTTTAGCTGTATTTGTAGCACACTCAGACCATGCCACACCCTCACGACAGTTATCAAAAGTTACTGAAAAGGCTTACTCTCAGTTGAATCAGTTGCTACACAAAACATAACGCTGTATAATTTTCTGATGTTCAGTTACTTGCCTTTCTCTGTCATGGGCGGCTATTAATTTTTTTTTTGTATTTTAAAATCTATTTTTGTACTAAACGTAATCAATTGTCTTTCAAGTGGAATTCTGCAAATTAGTCTTATTTATTTTCAGAGTTTTCCTGAGTTTAAATACATTTTGTATCAATAAATACACATGATCCAAAATGAAAATTTACAATACAAGGCTTAGTCACTGCAGAACTATTCCAAGAAAAATACCGCGGTAAACTTTAAATGTCCTGCACAGACAACGAAACTTTCTTTCTTTCTTGAAATTATTCCGAGCGTAGCGACTTTATAGCGTAGCGCGCGCAGTCTGCTAACCGCGCGTGGTTTTAGCCAGCTGCAGGAGCCCATCAACGCCGACAACAAGAGACAGAGGAACAGGAGATTGGAATCAGAGGCATTATGATCGTTTTACACTGTCGAAAACCCAGATTTCTTAGTTTGCCGGTTTCCCCGCCGATATATAGATCAAAGTCTGCAAAGTTTCAGCTCAGTATTACGGCCCGAAGAATAATAATTTTCACCGGGCGAACTGCACCGGGCCATATTTGTTCTTTGTTTTTTTTCTTTTTCTAAATCCGTACGCAGAAATAATGCTAAGGGAGCATTCATAATTTACCTAGAGGGTGGGCTATGATGATTTTGAGGGGGGGTCACTCTTTTTCCCTACTATGATTTAGGGGGGGCTGTGGAAAATTTCCAACGAAAATTACATCGAGCATAGGGGGGGGGCAAACATTTTTTTCCTGAAAAAGAAAAGGAAATGAAAATATGCTGTTGGACGCTCTTATAATTCCTGTCTTTTATTTCATTTCGACAAAATGTTGATACAGAACTAGAGTATGAAACTTGATGCATGACGCCCACTTCTTGTGCTACAAGGTGTCTTTGCGAGTGGCTCAAACTCACTCTCGTCACCCTCCTCACACTCGCTCTCCTCACTCTCACTCTCCTCACTCCGTGTTTCCCCCAAGACAGTGTCGTCGCCTTCGTCATCATCATCATCAGCGACTGCTTCTGGCTCTTGTAAAAGACGTTGCCCTGTTACAGTCATGGTTCTCAATGCCTCAGCCCTAGTCTCTTTCAAATGAGTGGTAATCAGTTCCAGTTTTTCTTTTTTCAGCTTTTTTTTCCAAGGTAACGAGTGATTCTTCAAATATACAGATCTTCATTTAAAAACACTGCACTAACAACTGGTGATGATCTATCAGACCATTAGCTTCTAAATCTGCTTGAAACAAATTTATATGAAATGTATGTTCAGTGCAACTAAAAGACCACTTTCTCTCCAGTACCAATTGAGATAGTTAAATTTATTATCAGCCAATAATTCAATCAGCTTTTCTCAAGAATGTCCAAAATAGAACAATTTTGAATTCAAAATGCGTAGAGATTTAATTGTACAGAACATTATATTTTCAGAAATTGACATCTTGAAATATCACCATTTCATTAGTGCAAGTTGTTACTGATTTACTATGCTAATTACTAATAAAGCTCAATATACCTGTCACAAGACTTTGATATGGCTAAGGGTGAGTTTGACATATTGTACTTATGTGCTGGGGGCGGGGGGGGGCTATGATATTTTCCTTTGATAAATCAACATCTCTTGAGGGGGGGTCAGAAAAAAAACCCTGGGATGATCAGGGGGGGGCTTCAAAAAAATGACAGAAAAAATAAGGAAATCATCATAGCCCACCCTCTAGATAAATTATGAATGCTCCCTAAATCTGCTTTTCAATACACTGTTAAGAGCAAATGTCTGTAAAAATCGAGCAAAATCGAAATTTCGCGCCCACAGTCAAAAAATCACTTTCGCTCATATCTTGTCCATAGATAGGCATAAGTAAGTAACTAAACGTGGCGTAGTTTGTTTTTCAAAAGGCCGCTTGGATTTGGCGAAAATCGACAAAATCAATTTTCGTGGTCGGCGACTTGAAAACAACCAAAATTTGAGGCAAAATCAGGCGGTCTCAAACCTTCGCTCGCACGCACATAGGAAGAAAGCGGGGTAAAATATTCCCCCGATAAATCAATTTATAAAGGGTTCTACTTCTGGTTTGGTGATGAATTCTTATCTTAACGATAATCTGGAAGATAAACAATGTTATTTTAGTTTGGATTCTTTTTCAACTAAACGAAATTTAAATTTAAGCAGAAAGTTGTGTGTTATATTTTAGGCATGTGCTACACCTAGGTTTTACCTGAAACTCAAGTCATATGTTATTTAAACATTGTGCTAAAACATATGAAAGAATTGGCCTGGGTAATTAAATTTGTACTTCACACCAACCTTCTGAAGTTGAATAAATTTTGCTTGAAATATGAGACTTTTCAAGAACGTCGGTTGGTTGTTGCCCGACAAGTCACGATGGCTGGGCTCTCCAAAAGAAACTTAACTCACAATCGCATTTGTATTAAAGACATTTGTACTGAAACGATAATTTTTGTTACCTCAAATGCGTTTTCCCGTTCTGGTTAACTGGCATTGCGCCTTGTCCCAAGCTAATCAACCGAAGATCCAAAAACTCGAGGAAACGTGGTGCGTGAAAATAACCTCAAACAGAACATTTCTTGATACTGCTGGCCTTTCTTTTCCGCAGTCAAACTTTTACATCCATTGCCATTTAAAAATTCTAGGTCTCACAAAAACTGCGATTTTGATAGTGAAACTTTCGGGCTGCCGTTACCTCTTTGGTCATAAAAGTGTGGTCAAAAGTGTTGCGTGACAGGATTCACAGGCTTCCCAATCTAACCATTTGAGCGACGCCTTTTTTTAAAGTTCTTGCCACAAGTAGCATATTATGCTAGTAACAATCCAAATCATGTTTTTCAGTTTTCTTTTTGTCCTAAGTTTTCTTAAAGTGTGCTTCCATACAATACTAAATTAATAAGTCCAGAAATATCGTTTTTCACGTCAACTTCCCCCCGTTGCCTTGTATGTTCAGGCTTCAATCTCTAGCTATTTCAACGCATTATTACCTATCAGGCGGCTGTCTTTCCTCTCGCATATGCAAGTTCCATTGTTTTGGATAACAGTTTTTGTAAACATTCTGCAATTATCTTTCAGTATATATTTTTTTCTAATCTGGTTATTCGATCGTCAAACTCTTGTTTCTGTTTATATAGAGGAACCCTGCATTGTAACCACCCCGTTTATACGACCACCTCTTGCCTCAGCTCACCTCCCATAGTCTTTCCATTCAGACTTGAAAATCTCCGGGTCATTTTATTATTTTAAAGACCTCTTTAATGCGACCACCTCGCTATTACGACCAGGATTTTATGGCCCAACGCTGGTCGCATCAACGGGGTTTTACTGTATTTTTTAATTTCAGTTTTCCACATTGTAGGACAAAAAAAAATGTACGTCAGCTGGACTATGGAAATTAATGTAAAGAACTAAAATTTGGGCCTCGCTTAAAGCAGAAGGGTCACCCGCCTACCCGAGCTTCCCTGAAAGAGGCAACGTTTCACGCATTTCTTTACAAAACATGGCGAACCGTTTAAATTACAAAAAGTTGGCTCGGCTAGAAGGGTGACCCACCTTGTCCAGTCACCCTTTTGTAATGGTATGGTCGGCCTCCTAACCGGGCCAACGTTTCTCCGTAGGCACTTTACGCGCTTTCCATTCAACAAAAATTCCTGTTTGAAATTTCGGAAAAACCTCGTGCCCATTGGAAGGTACATTCCAGTTGCAAAGATCAAACCAAAGCCACCGCGAGTTTGGTTATCGTGCTTGTAAGCAGGATATAGATCAGTGGTCCTGGTAATTCCCGTCTAGATCAGATCCGATCCGTATCGGTAAAGGGCTCGCATAGCCAAGGCGAGACAATTGGAGCATGCGCGAAGGCCGGTTGGGGTCAATATTTTTTTTTCTCTCGGCTGGGAGGGTGACTCTCCTACGCGAGACAGGTTTTCTCCGTATAAAGGGAATTAAAATTTTCGGATACGAAATTGTTATAGAGAAAGAATCAGAAAAAATTTCAAAATTCTCAAAAAAAAAAATATTGAAGCTCTTGTAATTTCGATCGAAAAGGCTATTCAAGTTGCGCTGTGGATGACCGAACAGTTGTTATAATTATATGGCGTCGCAAAGAACTTAGTAATTTAGATAACCTAAAAGGGTTTTCAATGTAATTAGGAGGAAACTGTTGTTGGGTGCTCCTGTCAACGCTTCCACTACTTTCTCTACCCACACAGTTTTTTTTTCAGTTTTACTCTCGGTAATTTTGCGATTTTCTGAGTGTGCACTTTAGTACCGGTCTCGAGACTGAAACTTGGTGGCTCGTCAGAAATTCTTGATCAGAACTCTAGAAAAGAAAGTCTCCAACCATAACTTTCTCTGGCAGTCATCAATGAAAAGGACATTGAGGCTGCATCCGCTTCTGGGCCCGTTCAATTCTTGAAAGTCCCGATAATTAACGGGCCCCTAAAGCTGTCGTTGTTTACATGCAAGATGGAAATTTCAATAGTTTTGCATCTAACATGATAAAACTATCAGTTGATGAAAAAAATTGAGTTATTTTGCTAGCCGGGACCCGCGCTCCTTTTATTCCTTTTATTTCGATTTGAATATTTTATTTCGGGCCCGAAAAGTTATAGGGGCTTTGGACAAACGGGCCCCTGGTCCGTTGTCTAAGGCCGCAAGACGGAATTTACTGGAAAAGTAAACATAATGCTTTTGCCTAAACAGTGTCCTTTTAACGTGAATTTGAAGACGTCAGGGCCTAACCCATTGGTAAACACGTTTGATTCCAGCTTTCTAACTTGCTGTATCGGCGGTATATCATCTTAGTGTCAGATTTTAAAGCTTGTTTGAGTAGCCGAGCATGCTGTAAGGAGGAAATTGTCTGATATACTTTGACGTATCCTTTGGTAAAGGAATGAGAGAGGAACAGGTCAGCGTTCTAGACCCCAGGTTGCCTTCATTGTATATATTCGATACTAGAAACTGAAACTCATGCCTTAAGTCTTCAGACTCAAGGAGAGGTTTGTAGACTTGAAAATAGCGCTACGTCATCTACCACTCCACAAGGCCGCCCTGCCTGGATAGCATTTCCTCAATTACTTTACAATATTTTCTTAGTTGCGTGTGCTAATGTAAGTTTTTTAATGCTGGTTAGCCTGTGTAAGCATTTGAAAACTAGAGACAGGGAGACAGGGTTTAGAGCAAATTGCTTACCTAACGTCCTTGAGCAAGAGTTACGGCGTAGCCCTTGGCTTTGGACGGATTTTTCTATCCCCTCAACGACCTTTCGATCGGAGTCTTAGGGAAAGCGCCCTTACACTTGGTAAGATTCAGAGCAACCCTTCCACAAAATATACATATAAAATAACATGACTTTTTTTTATTGATTCTTCACTCAAAACTAAAAGATCATTTATCGAGGTTGTCCAAAGTTTAAAACCTACTCAGTGTTCGTGTGCACTGGCAGGGTGTATGATTTTGATGTTTTTCAAATTCCTTAATAGTCAATGCTTTTATCACACGCGCAGGTGTCCGAAAAACTGATCACCACTTTACACTTTTAAATCAAGTACTGTTGGCAGCCAGACTATGCAACCTTTCAGTTGTTGTATAATTAAACAAATAACTTTGGAAACATCAAAGAAATGTATAAACAATTTTGTTTTCTGCTTATTCTTATGTTCGAAAGATGATGTTCGTTGTCATGCAACACCACTCCTTGTCTTCTCACACTTCCTCGCTGTACATTGCAACTGATTCTATCAAATGGTAAGGACATCTTTCAAAAATACCGCGGTAAACTTTAAATGTCCTGCACAGACAACGAAACTTTCTTTTTGAACTTACGAGAAACACTGGTCACAAATATTGTCTTGCGGTGTGGTGCAGTGAAAGCTTTTATTGAAATTTTCGAAGAAAACAAAAAAACCTTTTCGATAATTGTTATTACCAAAAGAAGTATTTTTGTCGTAAACCACTTGAGTGAGTAGGTTTATTCGTTTGACTAAAGTTAGGACTACAAGTATCGAAGAACCCGCGACACTGCAAGAGACATAATTGAGGGCCTGCGCAGTTCAAGCCTCTACCCCAATATTCACATAATTCTGCACCTTTTGTTGACCAGTCACTGAAGTGCAACTCTTCACTGCGCTTTGTGAAGAATGTTTATGCTAGCACTATGAGAGAAAATCGCCTAAATGCTCTTTTTGCTGCACTTTATTTACAAGGGCATAGCCTTGGATTATAATGCAATCATTGACGACTATGCCAAACGTAACCAAAAAAGGATGTCATTCATCTCGGATTCATCAATGACCCGCAGTGATTGGTTTTCAGTTATCTTCGGTGGTTGGAATAATATGAATAAAGGAAATGACGCTGTAGACAGTTGCCTATCACTACTGCTGCGATTTCCTTTTGGAAATCGTCTTTGAGAAAAAGCCTTGACTGTTGCTCAAAAACACTCCCGGAATACTATAAGCAGCATCTTCTCGAGCGTGAATTTTCTATGGGGTGGCGTTCAGGGGAGAGAGGCTTCCTTCTTTCTTTTGGAGTAAAACAAGAAATATTGCAGAACAGCAGAAAGGCCCCTTCGTCGATTTTTTCTGAGGGGAGGGGCCCGCTGTACAATGACTAGGTTTGCCCAGCAGCACACTGACTCGATCAATGAGCCTTCAAAGGTCGGTCTGAAGCGTTTCCAGAGTGGTGAATTTTCAAGCCTTTCGATAAAGTAGTAAATACTGGGTATAGAGGAGTTCAGTTTGTCGTGGGGACATCCAAAGCTTTATAAAAACCACCTCTCTTGTAAAAGCCCATTCACATTAGTTATTTCGATCACGCTGTTTTTGCGTTACTTTACTATATATACCGCAGACCTAGTTAGAGCCAATGCCTTATAGTACAGGCTCTCGCAGTTGTCTTATAAAAACAATACCTTTTAAAACTTCAAGAATTAAGTCGTCGTTTTGCTTAGTTGAATCGCACGTGAAAACCTCGTGAATCTATCTACGACAATGAAGAAAATCGATCTTTACCCCTATTTGCGGCTCGTATCTAGCCAAAGACCACAACTTTTTTACGAGATTAGTTTACTCAGTACAGCTTTCAAAAAGTCAGCTGTCTTTCAAAACTTCTATCGAGCCAATCGGAATGCCTTACCGGAGCCTATTTTATTAATGTTTAACCGGAAATATGGGAACGCATTTTTTCTTTTTAGCTTTTATTTAATTAAACACCAAAAAAAGGTAAAAGATCGTTTCATATACTGCTTTTGCAGTTAATTCATGCGCACTAATTTTAAAACGGTTAATAAAACCGGGTGCGTGGATTGATATTTGCGCGACTTATAGATAATCAAACAAGCAAATGAATAAATGAATAAATGAAAAAATAATGGTTTTTATCATCATTTTCTTGTAAGACTGGGATCCAAACTGAAATGAATACCAAGTTTCATATGGAAGGGACCGTCAATGGATACCCCTTCGAGGTAGAAGGAAAAGGAAGTGGACGTCCTTACGAGTAAGTTCCAGCTAGTTAAATGCAGTAGCCTCTTGTTTAAAACAGATCTCAAACAATAAACCCCAAACCTCCCACGCTTTTTTTAAAGGGACTTTTTCCCTACCACCGAATCATTTCAGCCTTAATCGTGCACGCCTAAAAAAACGCTCAAAGTATACTTATTTTAAATAGGCATCAGGGCTCCTGGCAGACCTAGTGTTCTGGTGCAGGAACAGAACCTAATTACCATGATAGCCTGGTTTATTACGAGCAGCAAATTCTGACTTCTACTGGTTATAAACAAGTATACAAGGGGGAGGGGGGGGGAAGGGGGGGGAAGGGGGGGCGTTAGCAAACTAAATATAAAATATGCTAATTTCCAATGCGTATAAACTCTTTCTTTAAAAAGGGGTGTGCAGACCATGAAGCTTAAAGTCACTAAGGGTGCGCCTCTGCCATTTTCTATTGACATTTTGCTGCCTCAAGAAATGTATGGAAGCAAGCCATTTATTAAGTATCCAAAGGATATCCCAGACTACATCAAGTTGTCATTTCCCGAGGGAATCACATGGGAAAGAACCATGACTTTCGAAGATGGTGCAGTGTGCACTGCCTCTAACGACTCCAGGTAATCGAAACTAAATTTGAATAATTTGAATTATTCAAATAATTGTTAAAACAATTATTGGATGAGTATCATCTGAAGAATTATGAAGATCGAGGACGGTGTTATCCATCAGCCGAGGCGGAAAATTCTTTAGGTGATTCGAAAGCCGAATTCAATGATTATTTTATTATTCATTCAAAACAATTCCCAGTTTAAAAACAAGCTAAAACATGCTTACCTTCATCAATGCTAAGTTCATCTTTAATTGCCTGTTCATCGGCAAGTTTAAGAGATTAAGACTTATTCAGTACTGCAAATATTCTCCAAAGAGCACATGTCGTCCGTCGAGTTGTCTTCTTGCTGTTCTTGCTGTGTTTTTAGCCAATAGTTCGCCTATTTCTTCCCCGTGAAACGAGTCAGTGAAATGTTCTGCCATTTTGTACTCGGTAAGCACTTGTTAAGCACTTGTTTCCATATCTCAAACCTCCCTCTCCCTTTTCACTTACACTTACATGAAATTTCTAAGTTTTTTGACTCAGAGACTTAGTTTCTACTCAAAAATGTCGTCAAAGTGCAAGTCTCTTCAATTTTAAAGAAAAAAAAATGCGAGTCACGAGCAGGTATCGATCCCGGAGTGCTAAATCTGTAGTCTCACGCCCTAATCACTAGACCACCGAGAACTCATTGCAGGAACCTGGAGTAATTCAACTAGTGTAGCGAAAACCCTAACCCTAAATAAAAGCTAACCGTTAACCCTAATCACTATTGTAAGTGCTTAACCCTAATCAGTATGGTCAGTGCTTAACCTAAATCAGTATTGTTAGTGCTTAACCCTAATCACTATAGTCAGGGCTCACTCATATATGTATATATATATGCAATTACTTTGTGTGGGCATCACAAGGTATCCAAGGGCGCTTTGAGATATCCAAACTAGCGTTTACCGTTTTGGTTACCAAAACAACTCAATCTCGTCCCCAGGTCTTCTCGGTTAAATGTTCAGTTTTCTGGCAAGTATGCTGCACAGTTTACGTCATTTTTCACATATCGCAAAATTCTTCTAAATTTGGTGCACAGTAGCTGGTTATGATGAATTATGCCTGGGATTTTAGCTAATCAGAAAGGAAGAAATGTTTTGAATGAATAATAACAAAAATTATTGGAACACAACAGTAGATATTACCTATTACCTGATCCACGTTGCTAACGAGTAGCTAACTAGGGTTGGTTATCAACCCTTGTTCATTATAACTGCAAAAAAAAATTTTTCTAGCTCTGTCAGAGAACAGGTGTAGATGTCCGATATTTCAACCACTGTGAATGAACCAATTATGTTGACGAAAACACTAGTATAGGTCTTCTGTCAGTACATAGTGGTGCAGATATATGCAATATATGTGGTCTGGAAATCGTCCAGTACTTTTCACCTCTCAAGACTTGCGAAATAACTTTTAATAAAATATCTTTTTTATGAAGACTCGTTGGCAACTGTTTCATCTATGAAGTCAAGTTTCAAGGTGTAAACTTTCCCCGGGATGGACCTGTTATGCAGAAGAAGACAAAAGGCTGGGAGCCGTCCACTGAGAGACTGTATGAGTGGGATGGGTGTCAGAGAGGAGATGTCGACATGGCCTTGAAGTTGGAGGACGGTGGCCATTATACGGTCAACTTCAAAACTACTTACAGGTAAGTTATTTACCCCTGCGCCTTCACAATTGCAATATAAGCAAAGCGAGACATTTTTAAAATTTACTTTTGTCTTAGCCCTTTAAGTCCCATGGGTGATCAACATCAATTTCCTCCTAATGATATCCATAATTTGTCAAGAGACTAGGTTATGAGAATTAATAATATATAGATTTAGCCAGGGCTAAAAGCGAGGCTCCCATTAATAAATTTATAATTTAAATTAAACAATAAACTTGTATTCGAATTCCACAATTCAGTTAACTTTAGAGCACATTTATGTGACTTTTGAGGGAAAGGCTACCTGATTTTAGAGAAAAATAATTTGCAAACAGCCCAAGAGTGAACCAAATCTTACATCGAGTTGATAGCCTCATATGTACACCCAAAAACTGGTAATCATCTTCGATCACATTTAAGAGCCATAACGGCTCTTAATCACCGTAGATTAATTAGTGGAAAAAAAAATCAGACCAACTTTTTTGCGTTCGACAAGTTTACTTTGCAAAATCTTGTCAACAAATCTGGGTGCGTGTAAACCAACCTTTTATACCATTTATACATCACATCTCAGGTGAAACAGTAGTATGAGGCACTGTTTTTATCATACCGGCAGACCTCGGACAGAAAGCAGTATTTCACAATACAAATTGCACTCATTCAATATTCATAAACTGTTAAAAAAATTTCCAAAATCACCTATACGGCCATCCGGTTCTCACTTTTGTAGTGTGAGCTGTGGCGAGTGTTTGAATGAACATTAACAGAGTTACGCTCCAACATTATAAAGAATTTATTCTGTTTATTTTTTATTTAATGGTTTATTAACGCGCGGCATTTTGAGTACTCCTGCAAGCGATGTTCACTGAACGACTGAAAACAATCGGCACAGCGATTAAAATTACAAGAGAGACTACTAACAATCAATAAAAGAAATATAATTCGGTGAAACATATACAAAAACAACAATTTTCATTCAGGAAGACAAATATTAAAGTATCCCTAAAAATCCTGAGTCTTCAAGCTTCAAGCTTAAGTTTATGTTTTAAGCCGGCTTCCCGGTGTTTGCTTTTTTCAAAGACGAACTCGAGGCAAGAAAATCGCTCAAAGCTTTCTTTTCCGGCCAGAATTATAACTAAATATTCTTTGGAATGTTTTCTTTCTATTTGCGGTGAGAAACTGTCGAAAGGCTTTTTAAAGTTCTGTAAGCTTATATCAAACCTGATACTCGGTCAGATCATTGTCTCAAATCTTACAAACGTGCATAAACTAAATGACCGCATAAACTCCGCTCGACTTCATTAAATTAGATCCAAAAAAACAAACATCAAATACAATAATTTCTCTGGCTTACCATTCGAGATGCAGCTCCTGAAAGGTATCAAGAAAAGCCAGTATCGCTTCAGACTTTGCAATCCTCTTACGCATCAAGCAAGGTGAAAACGAAAACGATGCCATCCGAAATCGGATTTCCGACTTTGACAAGCGACGTATTCCTCAACCAAAAACCCAATAAACAAACTAGCCATGAATAACAGAGGACTCCTGATAGCAGCTGAATTTCATTTTGCACATCCAGTGGAAAAAGACAGTTAAAAACATCACAAGTTGACACAAAACTCTGTCAGCTTCAGCTGTCAAAGTAAACAAGATTCAAGATGCTGCATAAATTTTCCGCATGAACTCACCTGTCAAATTTTGACCAATCAGAGCATAAAAATTGGACGTAGAGCGTGACCAACGCGTGACCATGGTGAGAAAAGTCAAAAGCAACTGTCTTCCCTGCCTGTAACAGCTGGCTGAATTTTCGCGTCCGAGGTCAGTTTGCAATCAAAATTTTAATTGTGTAGCACATAAACACAACATATTTCATATGAATTTAGAAAAAACTTGAACTTGAGCCTGCGATCACTTGAAAACTAGTAACTTGTCAGCGGATAACTTCAAAAAAATACTTGACCTCGATGGGTCGACACCTGAGCCCGCGATACGGTCAAGTGATACTGGTCAGCGGGTACCCTGTTTTGACAGCTGTCAATTGATCAAAACATTGATGTCCAATATGTGTGCATTATCAGTTTAACTAGTAAAAGTATGAGATTGAACATTGTTCGCGATCTAGTAAAACAATTAACTGGTCAGCGGACAGCTTCCAAATAAATCACGTCACCTCGATGAGTTGACACATGAGCCCGCGATATGGTCATGGGATACTGGTCAGTGGCTATCCTGTTTTGACAGCTGTCAATTGACCATATTGTGAATGTCCTAAAATCCTATATTAAAGATGTGGACTTGCCAAGACACGCCTGAGACACCCCTCCCTTCCTTTTGATAGTCTCCCCTACCCCACCCGTACAATCTGTAGACGCGTACGTACGTATGTACGTACGTACGTACGTACGTACGCTCGGTCAATCACGTGACAACCAAACGAAAAGAGGTTGACCATATTCCATGAGTATGGGGCTCTGTCCCACGCGCGCTTCGCGCGCGCGGGAGCCCCGCTATAATTATCAACAATGGGAAAATGCCTTGATCTTTTATCAGATTCTCTCAACACATTCTTTATGGAAATGTATAGAGATTAGTTTGGAGAATTTGTATGTGGATATTGGGACTTAAAGGTTTAAACTGTGAATCAAATAGCCACTACTACGCAATAGTGCTTTTCGCTTTTCATGATAGCTTGTGATTTTGTACAATCGTGCTTCTCATATTCACGTGGTTTTTTCCGACTCAAACACGTAAAAACTCAGAATCAGCTCGTACAGCATAATAAACAATAAGACCACAAGGGAAAAATAAATGTACAAATGGTTGTTTTAAGTGGTCACTACACAGCATTTCTTCCACAGACCCAAACGTTAGAACCTCCTTGAAAAGCATTTTATAAACAGGACCACAAAAAAGTACTGCTTAGTAGCTTTCAGGTCTTACCATAAGATTTTATCCACAGACTCGAAAGCACGTTCAGTCAGAACGAACCAACTCTGGTACAACATAATAAACAGTACCACAGCAAAGTACGTATATACCGGCCAAGAGGATCCAACTGAATGAAGCTAGACACTTTTTAGGATTTCGTCCAAGAACTTAGACGCACGTAGCCATGTCGCAACGTCCCTTAGGGCTGTGCATAATGCACCCGCCCGATAACGCCGTTCTAATACTGAGAAGGGGATTTACGGAGCAAGTTTATAACTAAGATTTAAAACAAGAATAAGTAATAGTAGAAGTAACTCCAAGTAGGCTACTCCTGAGCCAATTTATTATCGCGATAGCTTTCGTATTGCTCGTCCTAACCAGTATCTGAGAGCATGGAACAGGCTAAAATTCTCATAAATGGCGTTTAATATAACTGTACGAGATTAAAACGACAATGAACCGTTCTGTAAACTGAATTGAACAGTTTGGCCAAAACAAGGCTTAAACATCCGATTTCCTGATAATCAACACCAAACTACAATTAAAGCAACCGAACAAATTAAACATAAAGAGAAAAAGAGAAAACTGATGGAAGAAGAAGCCGGTAAAACATGGGCACCCAACGACAATTTTTGGAAAATATCTGTTCGGAAGACGATTTGAGATCTAGAATTTTCGGAACATTTGTTGTAAAATTTCTTGCTTCCCTGCTTCTCCTAGGATTTGACAACATCTAAAAATGGTATAATTGCCCATTTTTAACGGCTTTTTTCCGTAAAAAAGTCACGTAGAATTTTCGGGAGCCTTTTTTCTGGCTGAAATTTTCGAAAAGGTAGACTTTCAGCTAGGAAATCCGAACAGATGAAAAATTTTGGGGGGATAAAAATATGCCTATATCTTCTGTTTAAATACTAAAATACGTCCAACAACGCTATGTTTAAGTGGTTTTGAACTATATTCTCGTTGGGTGCCCCGGGTAAAAGAAAAAATAATTGTTGTCTCAGTTTTTATTATGATCCATTCCCGAGACAAGACAAAGGGCAATAACCGAAAATGAATGTGGAAGAGTATTGAGGTAGACGTTTATCAACGAGACAAATTTTGTGGCTTGATCTATTTGCATGGCATTTTGATTGTTAGTCAGCGTCTATTTTCAACCTAACATTAATTGTTTGTTTGGTTTTTGCAGATCAAAGAAGCCGGGCTTGAAGGTGCCACCGTATCACTTCGTTGACCACAAACTAGTTCTACTGAGCCACGAAATCGATGGTGTCAGTGAAGAGTTTGAGCAAAAAGAAACTGCTCAGGCACATCTTTCTAACATAGCCTAAACTCAACTCCCTTTAGCAGGCGAAGTGAAGAAACAAGCAATGGCGAAAAAGCAATAGGGAAAATCCAGTCGCTGATTTCAGCTAAAAATAGTAGGACAGTAGAAGTGTAAACAACAATTAAGCCTTGCTTATTAAATCTTGCAGTTGAATATAGGTTTTCTGTGTTCCTTTTTTGTTCGATTTTAATGTCGACACGTAAGCTTCTAGGCGAAGTACGCAAAGAAGGTGGTATAACTATTCGATGTCTTTCTCGAGTCTTGCCCAGTTTTCTTTCCACTTATGATCAATTTGAACTCTGCTACGAAATTTACAAAATTAACGAGTTTTCGCGATGACCTCGCGAAAATTACAAAATATAGAAAATGAGCGATATTTCGTGATGTTCTTGCGAAAACTGCCAAATTTACAATATTCACGATTTTTCGTCAGACCCTACGGCAAATTTGTCAAAATTCTT